CCACTTCGCCAAATGGGTGAACTGAATTCCAGAAGTAAATACCGAAAACTTGACTTGAAATGGGAAAAGTTTGCATTTGCTCGACCCGAACATTTTCAGGCCCAAAGCAAATGAATATTTGAGGCGAAAACACAAACAATTCCTTTCGGGTTAGAATTCTCATTTGAAAGACTTGTAAATTCTTTTTTTTTTTTCAAGTTTTTTGTTGTTGAGCTGGCTAGTGAAATGTGCGATGGCATTTTAGAAATGTGCGCCAGACTTGTCGAGGGGAGGGGGAATATGTAGCGTCGAGCATGCCAAAAAGTATCTATCAGATACGTGAACACGGGGAATGCCCGCTATGCAACGCATGGCGTCTACGAAAAAAAAAAAACAAATAAAGGTTCGGGGAAGGAGAAATCAAACGCAGAAAGAAATAAATCAAATCGCACATAATTAATAATATCGCAAAAAGAAAGCAGAGAGCAGCGCTAAAAATTAACACAATCTATTTGCTCGACAACATTCTAAGGCAAATCTGTATTTGTATCTGTATCTGTAAATGTATCTGTATCAGTGACGGCCATTGGCAACTGGCTTTCTCAAGGCCAGTTGAATTTTGTGGTCGTTAAACTCTCTCCCACTTTCTCCCCTGCTTTCCTGCTCCTCCTTCGGGTTCTTTGTTCACTTTCACGGAAAGAACTCAACGACCTCAAAATGCGCAATAAATTTGGCTGCCTGCACTTTGACTACACAGGAAAAAACATGACAATCAATCTTATAGATATTTATTTAGATAGATAGATGATTAGTAGTGTAGTTTTGATAATTGAAAAGACCGTTTTTTACTTTTTAACATTAACAATATTTAACATTATTAACATTAACAATTTACATTTTTTTTCTTCGCAAATAAATAAAAAGCGTTCCTATTTTTTCCCGTGCGCACAAAGAACCAAAAGCAATGTTTCCAGCTCTTGTTTGGCTAATTAAAAAAATGTTAGCTGCCACAGAAAAAAGGCAGAAATCAAAAGCACAGTCAGAAATGGCTAGAAACAAATGTTAATGAGTGCAGTCACTCTGAATGATTGCTAAACGCAGGGAGAGTGCAGGGACTTTTGGTGGCTTTCAAAAATAGGGGAATGACGACAATGGAGGCAGGCAAATGTTTTATGGCACAATTACCTCAGAAAAAAAGCAAAGCTAACAAGATCAAGGCGCTCTTTGAACAATAACCACAAATCGTGCAAATAAAGTACAGTGGGTATAGTATTAATGGGCCGGCTTTATCAGGTGAATTGGGTGAGCAGGCACCGTTGTGCGATAAGCGTCACGTCTTAATCACATGAATGGATATATTATTCACCCGATTCGTTTCCTCATCGGCGCCATATCGCATTGGTCATGTCCAGCGAGGTGTGCCATTTTTAGCCCGATAGCCTCCAACAAAGCAAAGTTGTCTGGAGTTCAAGGTTTTGCCCTTGACTGGAGCTGGAAATCGGCACGAGAAAGTGCAATTCTTATCATCAAAACAACAATGATACTTATTTTATGCTGATATGCACACCTTTGTTGATAAAAAACCGAGCTGTGGTAGCTTGGCTATCGTGAAATACTACGATTTTCTTTTATATTTATTACCAGCTTTATTATTCAAAATATATTTTTCAAACATGGCTCTTTGAATCATAGTCAAACTATTTAATCTAGAAGGAATTCTTCAAGAATGTTTATACCAAAGAAGGCTCAATGCTATTAAGCACTCAGCATATTTTACATACTATTATCAGTTCTTCCCGACAATCAGAAAAAAGCATGACAAACAAATTAAGCCTTCTGATTAAGTCGCATTCCATACAAATTTTCTGACAGGAAATTCTTTTCAGTTTCCACCTTGAGGAAATGACCAAGAAATAACTATTTAATTACCCGCCTAAATAGAAATAATTTCTCGAAAAATTCGCCGTTAGTCCAAAATCAAGTTCCAAGAACCACTAAAATTATACGAAGCGAAGAGGAAATCCAACGGGCCATAAAAGTTAATGGGAACCGGGTGGAAAAGCCACGTGGCGAAAAAAAATTAACGAAATTAATTGCATGCTTTGTGCTAAATTCTTTCATTGAAACAACGAACCACAACTCGAAAAGGGAACATTAAATGCAGTCGACTGGCCAGCCCGAAAACACGCTATATAATTATACGATCGGCCATATAATGTAAACCATATACTGGTACATTTAATGCACACACATACGTGTATTAATGTATTAAATTAGAAGCAGTCAAAGGAAAAAAGCCTTGCATGACATGAAGGCATTTCCAATGCAATACTTCTAATGGAACTTTTCTCCTTCCCCAACTTTTCCCCTTTTTTTTTGGTTTGCCGCCTGCTAACCAAATATGTATTCAGGCCAAGTCCTTGCGGCTCATTTAACAACTCTTTCCACTTAGCCAGCTAAAAAAGCGTTGCTCTGTATTACTTTTTGTTAATTATTTTCTGTGTGCTCGGCAAAAAAGCAATTCCTGATGAGGTCAACGGCTACATTAGCAGCCTCAGGTCGTAAAAAGCCATACGTATACGTAAATTAAATTGTGCATGGCTGGCACAGGACAAAAGCTTATTTCAGGAGGACATTAAGGTCCTGCAGGAGGAGGTTGGGTGTGCATGTCTGTGCGGAATTCTAGAGACTGTCACTTTGCGCTGACATCTTCATTGTCAAGTGGGCCACTTGGCTTTGTACCACCCGGCGTATGTGTGATGTGCTGGCGGCTTTCGAACTCGGCTTCAACGAATCTCAGCTAAAACGCTTTATTTGCTCACTTAATTGGTTTGGATTTATTTTTCCGTTTCCTTCCTCCCAATTTGCATTTTCGTTGAGTTCTCTTTATAACGATGACTTGGTGATTTGTTTATCAAAACTGTTTACTTAAGACTTTTTTCACTTCTGCTATTGCCCCCAAAAAACGGTGTGGGATTTTTTTATTTATCAGCCAAGAGTCAATAACTGATTGCGCCGTCGACGAAGAAAATCAACGAAAAAGCGAATGAAATAAAAGAAATACATTAGATTATAAATAGACCGACTAGAAATATTTATTCATTGGGAATTTTAGCTTTGATTACGTGTCAGTTGGAACGTTGCTGCTAAATTAATATAACATATATTGATACCCCAAAGAAGTGCGTTCCGAGTAATTATTCTTGGGGTAAACAAAGTCGTACGATGGATGCGTCAGCACACAATTCGGCTAATCACAAACACGCCGGCAAAGTACACCTTGATAATGACAATTATGAAAGTAACACCGCTCTTCAGGTGACCCGCCCACCTTCCTTCCAAATGTGTGTATTTGTCACGCAACAAAGGTGAAAATCCCCCGCCCACGTGCCAAGTTAATACCCCAAGTAATGCCAGACACTTTGATGCTTTATATCCCCGGTGAAAGCGAATGGGGAGCAAAGCACTTTGATTCACCCGAGAGAGAAAGAGAATTTCCCATTGGGGGAAATAATACAGAAAACCCCATTTAATTTTGTATTCCGGGGGTAAACAGAGAATTATTAAAACGGAAAATTGATTAGTAAACACGAAATGGGTGCAATTATGGTGACCAAAAGAATCAATTAGGTTGAAAGGTTGATTATTATATGTATTATTGCTTATTATAGCACTTTCCACAATTCAAACAATTTAACAAAAATTCCGCTAACCTATAAATAGCATATTAAGCCATTCAAAGAATTGTCGAAATTATTAATTGCCAGCCAACAAACTTTTCCGATCTCGGATATGGTTAATTTTAGTTACGGTTTCCCGTTCCCCATTTCCACCTAATTCTGTCCATCACAGTCTTTGTTTTGCCCAAGTTTTCTCAACCCGCACAATCCCCTCGTTCAAGTAAAAAAGAACTCTTGACGAGTCAAGTGTTTCTCGTCTGATGCCTTCTGTCTTTTGTTACTTTTTTCCCCCGCAATCTGGTACTCACAGCATTTTGTTTGATGGATTTCTAAGTGCGTAAATCGTTGTGATTTTCTTTCTCTTTAAAAAAAAATAGAAAAACTATTTCTGTGAGTGGCCATCGAGAGAGCAACAACAAAATTGTCGCTGGGAAAATGAAAATGATTAATTAGCTGTTCTTGGTGGGTATTCTCGGTTTCAATATTTCTTTTGTGTGTTCCCCAAGTGAAGGGGAAAATCCTCTTGAGCCCAAGTGACTGACTCAGCGCCTCAATAATTCATTGAAAAAAGATTTCGCAAAATATCGCTTCGAGTGCCGAAAGAGTTGAACAGACAGCGCGTGCCGAGGTTTTCGTATCCATCAGATTCATTTTGCGCCGCTCCCTTTGTCAAGGTTTATTTACTTTGAATTCGCTCTATAAATATTTGATAATTGGGTCCTTGGTCCGCCTATGCCAGTGCCATTTGTCGAGCTGAACACACACAATTAGAGTAACAAGTTGACATTCGTGGAAGGAAAGTGCCGTGAAGGTAATGGCAAAAATACGCATACGCCGTGTGGGTTCATCATGGGCTAAGCGTGGGCGGTTTAGCTCCATAAAACTTGTTGCGCCGCCATCGTGCTCCCCGTTCGCCTGACGTCAGCAAACGGAGTCTATGAGCCTTGCCACTTTCGGCCCTGCCCTTTATTGATTTTTCAATTCCCCCCATTGCAGTTGAATCGGAAAGGATTGCCGCCCCACTGAAAGAAATTTCAGGAAGAGTGGGGATGGCTATGAAAATTGAACTTTATATCATATATTGCATATTTTAAAATAAACTCAAACATGAATATATTGCCTAAGTTCCCAAACACTTAAGAATTTATAAGAGAAGTTATATATAAAGTAAAGTTAGTAACTAATATATTTCTTTGTTATTTTTTTTCATTAAAGAAACGAAAATTGTTATTAGAAAATTCTATGACTCTAAAGTGGAATTTTTGGAATTTCAAAAAGTAGTTTTGCAACCCTTTAAATTAATGAAAGGATTTCCCATAAATCCCAAAAAGACAAACTCACCTTTCTCCAAGCTGGCGTTGCAGAACTTGAGGGCGTCGTCGAGCAGGTTGAGGTGCATGCAGCTGCTGGCCTTCTCGCTGATCTTCTTGGCCTGCAGATCGGGGCCCCACCACTTCTCGACCAGCCGGCGCACCAAGACGTCCGGCATGAACTTCATGGCGCTGGAGCCACCGCCTCCGCCGTGGACAGAGGGATAGCCACTCAAGCCCAAGGCAGCGGCCGCCGAAGTGGACGCCATGGTGGTGGTGGCCGTGGCCGTGGTGGAGGCCACCGTGGTGGTGGTCACCGTCATGGGCGGTGCGGCCAAGCGGTGGACACTGGACGCCAGCTGAACGCCGTAGCCCATGGGAAAGCTCATCAGGCCGAGGTTCGCATTGTGGTTGGAGGGAGCGGTGAAGAAGCTGGTGCCCGCACCACTCGACGTGGTGGTGGTTAGGGCGCAGGCGGGTCCAACCGGCGGTCCTGGCGACGAGTCCTGGACGCGGGGGAATCGCACCTGGCAGATGTTGCACTGCGTGATCGTCTCGCAGCATTGGCGGCAGAAGGTGTGCCCGCAATTGGTGGTCACCGGACAGCGCAGGATGTCGCCGCACAGGGGACACAGCAGCGGATCGAAGTCCTCCGAGTCCTGCAGCGGACTCGGCACTCTTAGTTCTCGCGTGGGCGAGTGCAGGTCGAGCGGCGATGGACTGGTCTCGCCCGCCGGCTCGCCCACTCCACGCAGGAATTCCCCCGAGTCACCGAGATTTTGCTTGCCCTGATGGTGGTACCGCGACCAGGGCATCATGTCCTGTCTCTCCGAAATCCTGGGGCTCTTCACGGTCGGCGTGGCAATGCCGCCCATTTGTCGGATGTGGGCGGTCAGAGCGCTGGCCAGTGTGTTCAATTTATCCAGAGGGACGTGGCCGTCCAGCTGCCTGCTGGCTATCAGTTCGTAGACATCGAAGGCCTCCGACAGGCTGCCCACCTTGGCGAAGGACTCGCCGAGCAGATAGGACAGGTGCAGCGAGTTCTGGCTGTCGTTGCTGTGTGGCAGGTAGCACTGTGCCTGGCTGCCGGGCGCAAGGATGTGGGCCTGGTCCTGTTCGAGGAGCAGCACCTTCACCGCCCGCTTCTTGGAGCCCAGCGAGGGCTTCGAGCAATAGCCCTGCGACAGAGGCATCACTGTATATATCTATATCTATGTATATCTATATATATTTTATTTCGTATTCCCTTGGCTGGTATTATTTGTATTTTATTTTCGTAGCTGCCAGCAGTCACGTATGCAACAGCTTGCGTTGCTGCCACGGCGTAAATCGTATCTTGCAGATACAATATCTATATCTCACATCACTGCACTTCACTTTCGTTCACTTGCACTAGATTTATTCCACTTATTATTCTTCCACTTCATTTGCCATCAATTAATCTTTTGCGTGCTCTGCTTTTGGCTGTTTTTTTTGAACTGAAGAAGAAGTTTTGACAACAGCAGCAGCGAGGCATCTGAAAAATACAGAGAACAAAGAGAATATGAGTTGGATTTTGATTCCGGGAGAATTATACCCGCACACAGAGAGATAAAGAGAGCGAGCGAGAAAGATAGGGGAGAATGTGAAGTAAGCGGAACAAGAAGAAGATAGGGTTTTACGTAACGCTCAAAAAAAAAAAAACAAAAAACCGAAAAAAAAACAAGAACCCCAACGGGAAAAAACAATAGCAAAAATAAAACAAGCAGCCAAAGAAATGAAATGAAATGACTGATTCTCAGAGGCAGCTTTTGATTCTGTTTTATAATTCCAAACCCAGAGAGAGCTGCAGAACCCTCGCTCTCTTCCTATCTGGCGCTCTTTGATTGCTGGGTGGCCCGAACAAGAAGAAGAACTGTATCTATTACTTAACCACTGGAGAATGTCAGATATCTCGCACACGAAATGCAATTTCTCGCACCACAATCCCGAAAAGCGATGACGTGACTTTCGTCGCCTTAGCACACAGCTAATTGTCAGCCGCGGGTTCTTACATAAAATGTGTGGAAGAAAAAACCGCTGGGGTTCAATGAACTTTCCCGAATCCCCTGGAAGCCCTAGAAAAATCGCTTAGCTTATACTAAATCTGAGCAAATTAATTACTAAATAGTTGCGGTTAAGGTAGGGCATAGAATATAATCACAACCAGACGGCGGCACATGCTATTACATAATATTATGAAAATTAACACTGAATCACATAGAGCGAACTGACGCGGACGCTGGCTAAAGTAACGAAATCAAAATCATCACACAGATACTTTAGTACCAACACTCAGGCAACAGAACCCGCTCTTCGCTGTTCTCTTTCGCTCTCTTCGAGAACTCTTGGCCAACGTGCTTGCGAGATACGAAATGAAAGAGAATCTGGTTTTGTTTTTGTCTGGTTTTTGGCTTGTTTCTGTTTTTCTTTTTGTTGTATTTTTGATTGTGCGCACGTTTTGCTTTTGACGTCGTTCGTATTGTATCTTTAAGATAAACAATGCCGGCATAACACACAGACACAAGCACACACTCTGAATCACACACACACATTTCGTTCGGAGTTCGGTTTTGTCTTTGCCTTCGCATTCTGGTTTTGTTATGTAAACAATTTTTTGGTTGTCGTCCGCCCGGCATCAAGATCTCTTTTTTTTTTCGTTATAATTTGTTTACATTTGCAAAGGCAATCAAAGTGTGCCAAAATAAAATGAAACTACAAAATTGCGTGCAAATGAAATTTTTAGTTTTTCCTCGGCGAGATATAAACGCACACAGAGACTCGCGGACATTTTTATATCGGACGATTTTTGTTTTTGCATAAATCTCGTTGTTAAGTAATGCCGAAATATCTTATAAGTTGGTAGTTAGCCAAGAAAATGAATCTATCAAGGGTGTGTTTATATGTCTGCAGATATACGATCTGCGTGAGGCTCGCTGATCGAGTCGGCGACCCAAAAAATATAATGAAATACGCATTTTATATTCGGAATAGAATTTCGGCTGCAGGTTACATAAGATCTGGGAATGTTTTGTGGGTTAGATTGGACAGATTTTCGCTGTTCAAACAAAACGATTGAAGCTAAACATCAAATTGTTTCAAATAAATCGAAATTAAAACTATTTATTTTATATAAGACATCTCAGACACATAATACTCTTCATATTTATAAACTATAGCACCAGGACTTTAAGAGATATTAATACCTTAATTCCTTTGTTCAAACCATAGCTATTTAAACACATTTAAATACAGCATCTGTGATCAAAGAGTTAACTTCCTATAAATTTCCCTTTCTAAATTTATTTGCTGATATCGGCCTTCGAGTACTTGAGAAACCAACGTTTAGATTAGTTTAACCAGAACTTTACACAAGCTCCAACTCGGCTCTCAACCCGTATATATATATAGTTATATATTTATATATACGTTTAGAGAAGTGAAAACGAGATTAGAATAGGGGGTGCTAGCTATATCAGTTGGCATTGTGAAACATTGTGCGAGGAAAAAGTTGGTAAACAAGCTTTCAGGCACTCGATTCTAATTGTTCCTGTTGTCGTTGGTAGTTTAGGTTTTACTTTGCGTAAGTGTAAATTATGTATACGCCCCGTATATAACTGCACGTGTATCCGACGGCAATCGTGGCTCCGTGTACGTTTGTATATTCGTGGTTATTGCATAATCAGTAGCCGATAAACGTTCCTAAACGAACTGCAAATATGTGAAGCCCAGTCGACTGAACACGCCCTCACAGCAAATAAAGCTTGTAAATTTCAGTTTTTTACCATATTATGCAATGTCAATCATAAGCGACGACCGACTGCCTTTTTATCATCACCGTACATCGCCAGTTAGACAAAATGGCAGCGGTGACAATGCGATGATACCTATAACAGCCATTTATTGTATTCTAGTATGTCCACTGAATGCAGGCATTGTTTGCTATAAATCCGATAAGTGATTGTAGGCAAACGTTGATTGAAGTCGATAAAGGAACTGTCAATACTAAATATGATAAACTCATTGTGTGATAGGGGGAACTAATTGCCCATTACGTTGGTTGTAAAAAGCTGATTGAATAAGACAATGGTTTATATACTATATTTTGATGTAAATCTAATTTTCAAGAAGGATTTATCCTTAATTCCTTAAGTTATGAAAACCGTTTTTTATAATCATTCTGTTTTCCACAATAAATTGTTCAATTCCACTGTGCTTCTGGTAAAGTTCTTTAATCGCAAACCAATCACCCCACATAAGCAATTAAATTGCATAATAATGTGCGCTATAAATTGATTATGCTTCGATGGTGATTTTCTTGGTAATTATGAAACCATGCTCGTTGTTATGAAACCACATAAATTTTCATTGCCTTGATGTTGGCGTGTATTGGTTTTTGTACATTTTGATTTCTTCTTTGATATTTGTTTTATTGGTTTCCCATTTGTTTTGCGTTTTTTGCTTGGCTCACACGTTTTATGACATTGTGTTTGGATGGACGACAATGACGACGACGATAAACACTCGTATAAATAGCTCAAAAACTACAACAGAAACCAGGGTGAAGAATTTATTGAGGCAAGCCAATTAGCAACCAAAATTTCTAGGTTGTGATTTCTCAGTTTTGATTTCACTCCGATTACACAAGAACCCACTCATTCGCTGACTAATTGGCCCTATCCCTTTCGACCTTACGTAATCATAGTGTTTTATTTGGTTTATATAACAGCGATCTGCTGCTTGGAGTCTGGCTTCCTCGATACTCGACTCTGACTCATGACGAACCTTTTTCGCCCGATGACGTATGCAAATAGGTTTTTCCTCTTTTCGAGCTAACCATTTTTTTTTCTGTAACCCCCCTTAGCGCTTTCCGTTTTGGGCCAAGTGGGCGAATGGCTTGCTGTGTTGCTGCGGCTCGTTCATTGGCAGCAAACGTCGCATAATACTTGTACATTGCGTGTCGTAACGCCAAGCGTCAACTGAGCGAGAGGGGGCGATTTGGAGGAGAAGGGAGAGAGGGAGAAGGAGCCAAGTTTTTCGCTTTGGAGGCTGACGAATATTGGGAGGTGACCCCGACAAATTGGCGGATTTTCACTAGATTATCTGGGCTTGAAAACTGTAAACCAGAAGATTATGAAATCAATGAGAAAACCGCAGAGAAGATACAAATAAAAACAAGCCGAATGATTCTAAAAATAGTTGTTTACTTTATAATAACAATAAATTAATAACATGCAATTCTATTCTTGAAAAATATTCTAAAAATTCTTATCAAACAAAAAATCATACGTACTTCAAATAAATATTTTTCTAATTAACCTTACGCAAACAAAAAGAAAATTGAGTGAAAAATCCACACTTTCCGTACAGCTGGTTATCAGCACTAATTTGTCATGAAATCGGTTAGTTATATATGTGTATATTTTTCCGTGGAAGTTTTATCACACATTAAATATAAATGATTATCAAGTGCAGGCCAAATTCAATTGGCCACAGAAGCAGAACGTCAACAAACGGCGCAAAAAAACGCTTAGTAATGCCTTTAAAAATATGGCAACACGTAAGAGTCCTCTCCCCCATTGTCCCCGCCCACTGCAGCTGCACATTTTGTTTTCACAATCAGCAGATAGCAAAGGAAAAACAGTTTTTCCCCACCAAAAGAGCGCGAGAGCGGAAAAACTAAGAGAGACTTGAATTTGCCAATCTTTAAAAAGTGCAACTTTGTTGAGCGTTCATTCACATTGGACACGCACACCCTGACAGCATGTGGTGTGATGTCGTAACACACACAAGAGAGGTTAAAGAGATCCAAAGAGAGGGGAAAACATTCCAAAGAGAGTGGCAAAATGGAATTACCTGTCGCTGGTTGAACCGCGCCTCCGTGTTTTTCCCCAAAAAGGGGCGGTTTTTCGCGGGGTGCGGGGTGGGCTGTTGCTTGAGAATTACACACACACTCTCACACACAATCACGAAATTCTCCCTCTGCTTCTTCCAATTTATTTAAATTTTTTTTTTGTATATTTATGTATTTTTCCTTTTTTGTTGTTTGCCAAAAATTTATTGCCACACGCGTGCGAAAAAAAGAATTGGGGTATATTTTTTCGGGCTGTGTTCTTTTTTCCTTATATTTTTGTTTGTTTTGTAAGAACTTGGAACGGCGCTTGTCCGTCGGCTTTACGTAACCCCGCCGCACACACGGGTTAAATTTTTTTACGAAGGGGTGCGCGGCTATTGGGGGGCTCCAGTGGGACCCCCGTTAAATGTGTTGTGACTAATTTATTTATTTTATTTATTTACACTGGGAAACACGCGGGCGAGCGCCTTTATTTCACTTTATTTATTTCTTTGATTACGTTGGCGTTTGTTTTGTAATACGCTTACGTTACGCGACGCGAGAAGTAGAGAGGGAAAGCACTGGGGCGAAAGAGACAGCAGCAGCAGCGGCGGCAACGTGTTCGAGTGGCTCAGCGATGATTTGCTTATGGGATGCGCTCCACTTTTTTGCTTTTTATTTGACTTTTTTATTATTCATTTTATTTTTTATTTAACTTTTTTTGAACGTCTCTCGGCTGCCTGAACTTGCCACGGCCGCTGTTCAACAGCGAATGACGGGTGTGAAATGCCTGCCGTTTGCTTGGAGCGCAAATGTGGGTTCTCTTTGCCAGCGAAAGAGCAAATAATGTACTCCAATATTATGTCACTGGGGGCTGGCTCTCTTACGCCTTTGTTGCGTCATCAATTGTGGGGGCTAGCGCTCTCTTCGCAAGGCATCTCTGGCTTTTTTTTTGTTGAAAAATTTGCCGGCAAAACGTCAACTGTCAAAACAGGCGACGCCAACAAAATAATGGGCACGCGGGGGCCAAGGGGTGGTTTAAAAAACTATAGGGTGGTGGGGTGGTGGGGTTGTGGGTGGTGCTGGGGTGATAGTTTGCCAGTGGGCGTCATTTATCGTATGATGCGCATTTCCGGCGCCACTCAACAGACAACAGCAATATAAACACCGAACAACATCAATAATGACAACTAATACGTAACATCTGTAATTCTGTTTATCAACATAAAATGTAAGCCTTTTATCAAAAAATCAGATTAAATACTTCCAATATGAAATATAAGTTACAAAAAAACATTTTAGCAAATCAAAATTCCTTGAAGTATGTTTGAGCTCTATTGTATTTAAAATTTAAAGTGCCCGAACGAGATCGGTGTTACAAATATTGGACGGTAGTCAAATTGCTTTGTTTCATAAGTATTGTGTCGCTCTTACATATTGTTTTGTCATTTAACGCAAATTACGTATACGACGCGTTGACCCCATTTGGGTTGATCAACAAATGCAGCCGCCGACAAACATGGCTTTAAACAACCCCCCGTCTCTCTGTCTTTCTCTTTTGGCTTCGCTCGGCTTGTATTTCAAGCTCAAGTTCAACGTTGTCTGTTAGCGGTTGCCTGCATACTACCAGTTTCATGCTGTTGGTGGCTTGCCATTAACATTTTGAGTGTCCGTTGTTGTTAACTCATTTTTCGCTTTCGTAAGTCTTGGCCGGTATGCGCGGCGAGCGAGTGGAACCCGCATATCTTTGAGCATTGCTCGCATTTATTGCAACATTTCCCCATAGGGAAGTAATCGAATTGCTTCGCCTCAGGTTTGGGTCTGGTTTAAATTGTACAGTGAAAGAAAACAAAACCGCTCATAGTATAAAATATGTTTCTTTATTTTTGCAGAATTAATACTTAATGTAATAGAATAACATCCCTATTCATGTGTTAATTTGTATGTACCAAGCTATAGATAGCGTAGCGAATTTTTCCTCTGTGTACTGGTTATGCAGTTCATATTTCTCAAATAGTTGCTGTTGCTTTTGTTGTTAATGAACGGAAATTAGCTGCGAGTTTCATGTTTGAGATGTTTATTTTGTACGCAATATATGAGGAAATTAGTTTTAACGTTTTTTTGTTGGTTTGTTATGCTTTTTGCATATACCTACCGCCGTTTCGGGCTTACGTTCAACTTAATTTGGTTTTGGCGATTCAAGCTGAAAGTTTAATTTTTTTAAATCAAAATAGGATCAAATAAATTTTTTTTGGAAATGGTTTTATATCTTTCAAAGCTGTCAACCTACGTTCTACAACATACATGATTTCAACATCAGGTTTAACAGGTTTGCAGTTTATTTCATATCCAGTTTCCGTTTTTACATCCTCTTTCCGCTCACCAATTATGTAATCAATTTGACCTCCAGACGCCTTAAAAATATATTCCAGCTGTTTTCAAGGCCAACAACTTGAAGGAGCTGCCGCAAAATTGACAAACCTGCTTACAAAAGAAAGAACTTACCCTTTATGTATTCCTTCAACATTAAATAAAACAATATGTATGCAGCACTTGCAACATTTGCATTTATCGTTTCAAAATTTGTATCTAAACCTTTATTGTTTGTTCTTTTTTGCAGTTTCTCATAAAACATATTTACTCGCATCGCCTAAATCTCACTTCTTGCCTCTTGAAGTTCCTACGAATTAAATTTAGTTTCGTTTTCAAATCATAGCCCATAACAGAAACATGACTTACTTATTTCGTTAACAAAATCTACAAAAACTTAGACTGAATGTTTTGGAACTTAAGCTTAATTAGGTTGTGTGTAAAATAATTAACAAATGACTTCATTTAAGGTAATAAATTATAGCTAATATCTGCAGCATCTCGAGCACTTGTGTTGGAGTTTCTTAAGGTTTCCTCTTTTTGTTTTTAGTTTTATTTTGGTTTTGTATATATATCTAGGTACATGTTAGTGTCCTTGCTTAGGCTTTCATCTTTAAGTTTTAGTTTAAATTTGGTTTTCATTCGTATTTCTTTTGTGTTTTGCATGCTGCCAACAACAATTAGGCTGAGTTTCTTGTGGATTTCTTTTAGCATTGCTCTAATGCTTGAAGCTGATTTTTACTAAGTTTTTAAGTACCAAATGAAGTTTGTTTCGCCTTCTTTAGGCATTAAGTTAAGCTTGATCTAGCTTCCGTTTAAGCCTCAACTTAAGCTATGGTAGCTTTGTGTTAATTACGAATTTACCTTCAGCTTTTCCGCTTTCGCTTTTCATATAAAATTATTTGCATTTCGTTTCATTTTGCAAAATTCTCAAAATATAAGTAAAGGCTCTAAAACGCTTTTTTAAGTTCTTTTTTTAGTTTGGTTTTATTTAATTAATTTAGCTTGATTTTTTGCAACAACTAACAATTTTTTGGGTTTTTGTTCAGTTTTTATTCTTACTACATTTAAATATTTTTATTTGTGGATTTTTTCGGGGCTTTTTATTGACTTTAAAATTCAACAACATTTTGTCTTTAATAATATGTAAGAATATATTTTTATGTATATATATGTATATATAAGTTATGTATATGTGTATAATATTATGTATATAATAGCATTTAATATGTTTCGCATTGCCATTCGATTCGCGCCGCCACTTCCGTTTCCGGTACGCTCCATATTTAAACTCTTATTCACTAAAAACACTCTGCTCTTGCCCGTTACTTACTTACTTAAATTATCGCTTTGCTAATTTCTCGTTTTTGTTTGTTTTCTGCTTTGCACTGCAACAATTTGTGTCTTTAGTTACTATTTTTAACCCTGCCTAACGATCGCCTTCCCTTGCCCGTTTGCTATGTAGTTGAGTGTACTATATGCATACAACTAATATCTGTATAAGATAGATATAAAAATCATCAACTACGAATTTATCTACAAAAGTTACTCGCTTGTTTTTTTTGTAGCATGCGTAATTCATTTAACTAATTCTTGTTGTATATAATAAATATATTTTAATGTTTATTGTATATTAAACATAATTTCGTTAGTTTTCATATTTGTTTTTCAACGTTTCATACTTTTCAGTTTTATCGTCTTCTGTTGTTGCTACAAAGTCTACATTTTGTTACGGAACATTCTTATTCGAAAATCTGGGTTTCCTGTTTTAAAACTCAAGAAAAACATTTAAATAAAAAAAAACCTACAACAAACTCGTTGCCTAAACGCTGAATAAATTGCATTGCCCTGGAAAAGTTTGCTTGCTTTTGGCCTGGGAAAATCGAGGCCTGAAAGTAGGCTATAGAAATCGCATCCTCCCCTTTTTGCGGCGTGAGTGTGGATATAGTATGTTCGTATGTCAGCCAAACTTGATGATAAATATTTAAATTCAGTGGCGAATTTTCTGTTCGTTTTTTTATTTAACAATTCTCTACATCAACCAAAAATTTTCTACAAAAATTCAGCTACAAACTACGGAAAACAATAGTTATTAAAAATATACAAAACTACGCTTAAATAAAATTGTGTGAAGGGAGGTCAACTGCTCATTCAACTATTGCCCAGGCCAAGTAAATAAGCAAAATATCGCCTTAATTTGTTTTCACCTCTACGCGCAATTTATGTTACTTAGGTATAAATATTTTTATATAAATATAACATGATTTTTGTTTTACTTCTGGTTTGTTGTACAAATATGTAGCAATTGCTTGAATCTGCTTAGTCGTATAGTCCGCTATTTGAGTTATCCATAAATGTTAAGTTTATCGTATATACTTGTGTGAATTCATTCAACAACCGAAGCTCAAAAATTTTCATTTTGCAAAATGACACCCAACGTTTTTTCTAGTTTTTTGTTTTGTTTTGGGTAATTTGTGGGGTTCTTTCTTCATCTTTAACGTTATTTTGTGGTTGTTTTCTCTAGGTGGTCTCATAGCAGTGCAAAAGGCGTTTAGGTTAGATTTTCAAAAGGGGTCCGGTTTTGGGGATCAACAGAATCGAGGGTGGCTAAATATCTATATTGCTATGTAATGCTATTTAAATTACTATATAATTTGTGTAGTTCTTGCATCTATCGTTAGGGTTAGTTTCGATTTCGGTTGCGGTTACGGTTACGGCATAAGGTTTATTTCTTTAACTCTGTCTTGAGATCCTTGTATGGTTTTTGTAAGATATTTACTAACAATGAGCTATGCGGCGAGGGGGTGGGGCAGCTGAGGGGGAAGAGTGGGGTGGATAGATAGAAAATAAACGAGTTTTCAATAGTTAAAAGCAACGCTTAGACTTTTATTATTACACACAAATGTTTGTTGTTTGCTTTCTCACTTTTTCGTTACGCTCGTTCTCTCCTTTATCCGTCTTTGTTTTTGTGGTTTATTTCTGTTTTTGTTGGTTTTGCACATTTTTTCCATAGAATAAATAAAACTTATTAAATTTCGTTTAAAAAGAAGTGCTTAATGAACTTAATTAAATCTTTATGCTCTTGTATTAGCTTCCATTTTCTTTGCTGAATATAAAATATGAATTTTGCTTTCGGTCGATATTTTTTTGTGGTTTCATATATTTTCTTAATGTTCTAGATAATTGTAAGCAGGTAAATGTAACTCAAATGTATAACAAATAATAATAAGTAATAAACTTAACTAACGAAAATAGTTGTTGTTTAAAGTAACATAATTGTATGGTATTATGTAAAAACGTTTAGTTTTTAAATTGTTTGTTTAAGATCTTGCAAATCACACCAAAAGAAATAGGGTTTCTTGTTATAAAAGATAAACGAATAAAATTTTTACAAACTAAAAGGAAAATTGTGAAAATATGTGAGGAGATAGCGCGGTATGAAGGGGTTTTTCCGGGGGATGGTCTGTGTTCGTTTGTTAGTAGGTAGTAAGAAAAGTAGTTCTCCGCTTTAACCAGCTGACTATGTCTGGGTTAGTTTTGGGTTGGTTATTTTAGTATCAACAAATCAACAACGAAAACTATTCACTTCTAGTTTTGCATTTTCATCTGTCCGTCGTCTGTCTCGGTCCGTCAGCTTGAATATTTTTTTGGGGTTTTCTGATATTTTTTTCATTAGGTTTATATAAAAATCATAGCTCACTTAAACTAACCAGCTGCCAAGTGCCCGGCAACTGAGGAGGGAAGTTCTTTGCTCATTTCTAAATGGTTTTCTTTTCTTAGCGTTTCTTTAATGTTCTCTTTTTTTTGTGGGTTTTCATTTTGCAATTTTTTATACAAGTTTTTCTTATGCTTTTTATGTTAATTCTTCTCTCGAGTTAATTTGAAAATAGGCAACGAAATTATTTACAATATGATTTGTTGTGTGTGTGTGGGTGTGGTTTCCATTCACTAACAGCTAAAGCAAAACTTAACCGAAAGAACTAATTACAAAAAATAATAAAAATGAAAGTAGTAGGGAGGGGGAAAGTAGAAGAAGAAGGCGAAGAAGGGGGAGTTTTGCGTAAAACTAAGCTAGACAACTATCAAACAATTTAAAAGATAACAATTCTAGGTCTGGGTTCTTCTACGTGTGTCTCTTTCAGTGTTTTGGGTTCCCATTGCGCTCGGAAGTATGCTACTTTAAAGGCAAAAAGCTTCGGCTGCAGAGCTTTTCAACGCTCCGCTCTCGTGAGACTTTCTTTTTGGCTACTCTAAAAAATGTTTAGTTTCCATGCGGTTTCTCCTCCTTTACGTTAAGTTAACTTGCTTTTAGTTTTTAGCATAAAATAAATATTTAAGCGGAGCACGACGCCGTGAGGGGTTTGTTGTGTGTGTGTTTTTGTTTTTGTTTTTGCTTACTAATTATATTTTTGCATATACATATTTAGATATAATATGTACTTTATAGTGTAGGTTTCATGTCTGCTGTACTAAACATTATTAGTAGTTTTATCATAGTTATGATTATTGTTATTTTATCAATAGTTATTATTATTTAATTGTTGTGGTGTCCTCAGGCCAAGTCACAAAATTGTATTTATCATTACACATCTTGGAATTTCGATAGACGTGCACGCAAGTCCATGTTCTCCTGTTTCAACTGCTCCACCTCCTGATGTAATGTTGCATTCTGAATCAAAGGGGATCAAAGGGTATTAGTTTTGAGTTATTTGGGGAGGACGTTCGATGGACTTACTTCCTTCTCCAAGTAGCGTGCCCGCATCGCAATCTGGTTCTCCTTTTGGCGCCGGGCGTCGCGGGATCGCTTGGCGGCAATGTTGTTCTTCCGGCGGCGCGCCCAGTACTTGTCGTCCTTGAGCTCATCTGGAACAAATTGCTTGCGTGACTTTTTGATCATCGGCTGCGGCTTGAGCTCCTCGTCGGAGAAGGCTCGAGTTCGCGGATCAAAGTCACGGCCCGAGGAGGCGAACGAAAAGGCTGGAATATCAAATACTAAATGTTAACAATGGTTCACAGACTGTTTCGTGCTAAATTAACATCGTAGAAATCAACCTCAAAACGGAAACTGAACAAACGAAATGGTTAACTCATGGAAAATTCGAATTCGAATTCGATTTGAAATTGAATTTTAAGGATTTGCACAAATTGGAATGGGAATCATTGAGTGGACGGCCTTGCGGGCCTTCGGTTTGTGTCTCTTTAACATTTAGCATTTGATAAGACATTTGTGGGTAACTTAAATTAATTTATATAATTCAGTTATAATTTAAGTTAGAAGCAATGTCCATTCCATTTGTGTTTAACATAATTTAGTCTACAAAAGTCAATAAAGTTTAAGATCGTTGTTTTGCCGCGTTCTTTTTAATGATATTAATAATAATCATTTAAATTAATTATTTAATTAGAATAGCTTTAAAAGAATACCAATTTGACTCTTATACAATAACTAATTTTTCAATATTGAAGTATTATCATTAATATATTCCAGAGATTAAATTTTACAATTACTTCGAAAATTTACAATTATGTACATTACTTTTTATAATATTAATACAATAAACTGCTTTTACGTTAATAATTAATTTTAATTGTATATCAAACGATCTCAATTGACACTTTATCGATTTATCGAGAGCTCGATTATACGCCATACTCACTTGATTCGGCCGGCGATGGCGGATTTAGCGTGTCCGGACTGATGCAGTCGGATGGCGAGGGCGACCGCTCCCGCTTTGTGGTTATGTGGCCCAGGCCCAGCGACAGACCCGCTGCGTGGCCCAGGGAATCGGACCGGTGACCCAGACCACTCGTGTGGCCCAGATGCGTGCCAGGCAGGCCATCAGGTATGTTATTCTCCGACAGGAACTCGTCTAGGTCGGCATACTAAAACGTTAAATGATAAAAGTGTAATGAAAATCTGAACACAGATGGGAGGAGAAATATGCCCTCGGGGTTAGTCACACGATCTGAGCTCTGATGATGAGAATACAATTCTCGCACTAAGTAAGCAATCGATAACATTCAAGTTAACTGTTTCACCGTGTGTTTTGTCATGACTGTACTGGTGTTTATGTGTGTTTTGAAGCTGTCTCCACTGAATATATTGCCAGATTTTTAATTTAATTTACACGGAAGTGAATGTTTTCATGAAACTTAGCATTTATATCCAGTTTTCACTAACAGATTCACAGTAATAATGAAAAGTTTTTTAATCAGTGGAGACCGCCGTTAGGTGTTGAAATGTAGAGCTTTTTGTGTAATTTTGACCTTTGGAACATTGTATAAAAAGACGCAGCCACTACGCAGCGATGATAGAAATGATACTAACTTGTGTTACCTTGAGGTCGGTATCGTAGGGTAGGGTCTTGTCCCACAGATTTGGGCCCAGAAACGCTGTTTGCGCCTCAACATTCCAGATGTCGCCCTCCTCCTTGTATTTGTCATCTGGGCAGATGATTTCTTTGCTATTCGATGTGGATTTGCCTGCAAAACAAAGGGTTGGCAATTAGTCAGGGCCATAACTTAGATTAGATTGCGGTCTATAAGTACGGGCAGTTAAGGGTTTGATATCTTATCCTAATACTGGGAAGTGGGTCAAGTACTCTTCATTTCTCTGTTATATAAACCATTTAAATTCTTTGGAAATTGTATGGGAACCACACATACATATAGCTAAACGATTTCCGCGAATTTCCGCATGCAGCTTTTGGCAGTAAAAAACGGGTTACAGGCAAACAAAACGAAGGAAAGACAAAAAATCAACAAACAAACAAATCACGCACACAAAGCAAACATCGGCAAGAGGAAGCAGCGGACAGGCAACACACACGAAAAGCGAAAGTGAAATTTTTTACAACAGCTTTCAAACTGATTTTTATCGCTCCCAGCTGAGAAAAAATAAATTAAAATAAACTCAAACACTCGAAGAGATGGCGAAAAGCTTTTGGCCCTATTGTAGCCGAGTTGAGTGCTATTTTTTTCGAAGCTTTTTTCGGCTTTGGCGCTGCGCATGCGCAGCTGAGCATGATCTTTCTCTGCTTTTCGCTTCTTTCCTTTGATTTCTTTCACGAAACCCGTTTGCTGGCCACAGACAGTAACAGAAACCGAAACCAGTTGCCGTCTTTGGTTTCTTCGGCTCGCAATAGTTTCCGCTTTCTTATTCACTCTCACTTTCATTTGCGAATGCTTTTTCTTGTATTTTCATTTATTTTTTTTTCTTTTTACAGTTGTTGCTACTGCCGCTTTTTGCATTACGGACTATTGCGAAATTTTATGCCATTTTGCGGCTTGCCTCTTTTCTTTCCTCGACTTCTTCGGCTGCAAACACACATTTCTGGTCTGTGCCATGAAGTAATATCTTTTCTTTCGATTTGCTCACCAAAGCGTAAGTGAAATGCTCAAGTGTCTGTGAAGTAATATCTGGTGTTTGGGGAAAATTAGGACTTGCGAATCGGCAAATGCAAAGGCCCACAAGGCTTTTAGCTTAATATTTATTATTCAAAGATAAAATAAATTGGAATTTATTATATACAACGAAAAATTAATAGTTATTCCAACAGGTAATAACATTTTTAAGTAATTATTGTTAAGTGTTGCTAATAGCATTTGTTGAGCTAAGCATAATTCAAAGATATAAATTATTTATGATTTCTTTGGAAGCCGACAAAAATTATAATGCCACAAAAAACAATATGAACTTAATTAATAAAAAAAAACATGAAAACTTTAACGAACTTTAACGAGTTTGTATTAACATACAGAGCTCCAAAAACTTTCTTCAGTAATAAAAAATATACTTCTGCAGTTTTAATAAAGATTAAAGTTTATTAGTGTTTAAGTTTCCTATTTATTTTTAACAACTTTAAAAATGTATTAAAAAAAACTTAGGAAATTTAATGTTCGTATTTCTTTTTGTAATATTTAGTATTACAAGTATGGTATGAGAATACTCGAAGATATAAACCATTCATCATGCAAACAAAAAATACGCAAATTCTGTGAAGAAGAAAACGATACAAATCGCATTCAAAAGTGGCATAAGCTTACTTTCGCATAGCAATTAAATAAAACAAACACAATAGAAACAAAAGCACAAAAAACAAAACCCAACTAAAGATAAAACAAACTAATAACAAAAAAAAGACAAAAACCAAATTACCGTTTGCTTTGCAAATGAAACCCAAAAATGGAGATTTCCTGCCTGTAAAACAAAAGAAACGGAAAAGAAAGATAGTAGAAAAGAAATACAATATTGATTCTTTACAAAAGAAAACAAAAACATGAAAGATAGAAAAGACAGAATAGTATCAACAGAAAGCATGCAAATGTGATAATATGAAGCGATCCATTTCATAAATTATATATTTTGCGAAGAAAAAATCGAGAAGGATGTAAATTTTGCTCCTTCATGAATATCCCAAAAGATACTTTTACTTTTATTTTATTGCCTTCGATCTGAATTTATTTCTCTTCCGGTTCACTTTCACTGTCATCAACATTGTTGATTTGTGTGTTAAGCAGCAGGAATCTTGTCGTTCAGTTTATTTTTAGAAGCGAACCTAAAACAGGAATTCAACTTAATCTTCTCTCGTTTTTTGCCTCAGTTTCGGTTTCAGTTTCTCTTGCCATTTTAAGTGGGTCAAGCGATTTTTTTCTGTGTCATCTTTGGGAGCCCTCGCACCTTTTATTTTTTTTTTTTTTTTTTTTTTTTTTACCTTTTTCTGGCTTGGGATTTTTATCTTCTTCTTTTTGACGACCAACGAAATTTCTCATTTTTGGTAATTAAAATAATTTGCATAATTTTCGTGCGTTTTTGGTCTCTGTTTCACTTTCATTAGAAAGAGATAGGGATAGAGAGAGAGTTCTCTCCTTTTGGGCCTACGACAACAAATTTATTGTTTCTCTAGTGAAACGCTCTCACACTTCCAGTTCTCTTTTCGGCCGTAGTCTTTTATGGACCTAATCATAATATTATTATGCTTATTACTGGCTTATTATTTTTCTGTAAATTGTTGCCTCTGTGGTCTTTGTTGTGTTAATGGTTGGCCACAATTTTTAGTGGACCACGGTCCGTAGGTTTTTCAGATATGTATATAGTTTTTTGGTTTGGAATTAAACTTTCACTTTTTGTTTCGTTTTTTTCGGGGTTTTAGTATGAAACAGCGTAAATTTCGGTAAGTTGGCGGTTTTAGTGACTGTGATTTTGATGAATTGCAAGTCTACTGAAGAGGAAGTCGAAGAAGTGGGGTTTAAATGGAAGGAAATATGAATACAAACATTAGGGAAATATATTTTTTTAGTACAAAAACTCGTGTTACTCCTAAAAAATGTTCTAATGAATATTAGGTATAAAATATTTTAAAAAATTGTTTGCTGTTTGAAGCTTTTTGATTTTTTTATCTTTCAATCTTTGAATGAAAATTGCTTGTTCAATCATTAATTTATTATCTTAAATTTTTTCCGCTTTTATCGCAATAGCCATTAAACCAATTAAAGTTTGTATTCCCAGTCACATCCGTCTCAACTGCCCGAATAAAAACTCCCCACTTACCCCTTCGATAAGCGAAATGAAAGTGAGAGTGCTCGACGGGCAGGAAAAAACGAGTCTTCAGCTCCCAAAAAACTATCCCCAAAAATGCATTCGGAGAAACCAGTTTAAAATACGCAAATCGATACAACTTCTGAGGGAAGAATTAAATTGGGGACGAGCTATGACGATACCAACGGCATTGAGATATATTTATGAAAATTAATTCCACGCGAAAGTTTATTTTGGGGACCCAGCTTAACACCCCGGGATTATCATAAAAAAATAATGGTAAAATACTACTTAGTAAAAATTTCGAAAAAAAATTAATAATAAACTAATAGAAATAAGCTGTGGCAAAATTATGCAACTTTTTGCATTTTTCTGAGCCGCCGTCGGACATGTTAAACAACAACAACTGTCCGCCCCTTTCACCTGTCTTTCTCCGTCTCCGTCTCTCTTTCTCTTTCCCCATCTCTCTTTCACTCTCTGTATTTTCGTGCGCATGCGCAACGATGGCGCAACTGTGACGGGTTTTTTGTTGTTACTTTTCTCGGTGTTGTTGTTATTGCTTGTAGTGATTGTTGTTGGTGATTTTTTAGTTGTTGCTGCTGCGGCTGCGCCTGAGTGCCTCGTTGTATTACATCGATTTATAAACTATATGTACATCGCACTCTTTTTTTATGGTTTGTTGCCATTGTTGTTGGGGAAGTTTTCGTTGTTGCTGTTGTTGTTGTTTCGGTGAAGTGCAGAAAGTGTAACACTTTCGATTGTTGCGCTGTCTCTGTGTGTTTGCTCTTTCGTTGTTGTTTTTTGGTGAGGCGGCTTTGTATGCATTGCATTCATTCCGTATTTGCGCTCATTTGCATTGCTTTTTTTGTACTTTTGTGTGTGTTTTATATCTTCTACCGCTCTTTTTTTTGTGAAATTAATTATGTGTGGGAAAATGTGATGGGCATTTGATTTCCGGGTCGCTAGCACGGAAAACTTGTTGCTAGGAGCGGCAAATAGGTAATAGGCAGTGAAAAGCTCAATCATACCGTCTAGACTAATGTTACAAAATGTTTCCCATCAAATAATGGGAATAAAAATATATACTTTCCCAATGGTTTTGAACTGATGACTTAAAATATAGAATTTTATAAGCTTTATTTGCTTTCTTTTTCTTTTAGTTTTTTTTATGGAATATTTGACCTAACTCAATTAAAACTTTTTATATATTTTAAGGCCTTGTCTTTTAACATCTTTAAATATTCAGAAAGTTAAGAAAGCCATACAAAACATATAATAGGTTAAATAGCATGTTTTCCGAAAGGCTTTCATCTTTTAAACAATCTTTCCAACTGTGCAATTTAATTTTTCAATCTCCGTCACTCTGAATTTTTGCAGACTAGCTGCCATAAACGCGATTTCCCTAACGGCAGACCGCTTTCTTTGCGATTACGAAATTAAGTAGAAAATTATGAAAGACAACCGAGCGGCGGAATATTTTGCAATAGTTTAATTGCACGAGACTCGGGCGAAAGTGAAAATCCGCAGACAGCGACACAATTTGCCACATAGCTTTTCCACTCAACCCATTAGCCCAATTTCAGTGCGAAAGAAAGCCGAAGCCGAAGCCAAAGCCGAGCTAACAGCAGCCGGAGCGGTTAGTTAATTAGCAGAAATAAGGAAGCGAAACCGATAATCATACGTATCGTGTTAGCTCTATCAAATTATAGACTCATGCCATAAAGCGGCCGAAACACGAACGACCAGAGACATCGAAACCCAAATAAAATTGCCTCAAATATGCAGAGCACGCTGGCTGGAAAACGAAAAAAAAAATAACAAAAAAAAAACTAAAACGAGGAGGAGGCGTGGCTGGGGTAAAAACGTAATCAAAACACGGTGAATTCAATCAAAGTGCTTCTGGTCTTTTCGTATTTTTCGCCTAGCGCGACGACGTGTGAACAGA